ACAGTACACATTTTATTTTAATCAGAAAATCCAGAAGGACATGGGCTGAAATCCTGCTGCAAAGCACAGTAAATTGTAACTAAAGTAGGCTCATTGAATCATTGGTGATTTGGTGAGTTAGTTCCACCATAAGTTCCATTGATTGAAAACTGTGCCAGATTTTAGATTTGTAAGGTGCAACTAGAGTAGAGTAGCCCTTTTTTGAATCAATGGAATTTACACAAGGTGCTGACTCTGAATCCTAACTGATTCAATGAGACTATTCTAGCTGCTGACTTTTAGCCATTGCATCCAGGAAGCACAAAAACAGAGCAAATCCAGAGGTATGGGAGGCACACAAGTTCAAAAACATGGAGTACTGCCTTCAGATGTTTTAAGGGAATTGTTTCTGGTGGGCTAGTGTTGGTAGTCTTTAGCAGCAAAACCTACAGAAGAGTCTTGCAACACCCAATAGTTGTTTAAAGCAATAGCTTTCCTGAATGGAGTTCAAAACAGTGAGAGTGACATAACTAGAATGTATAGAATTTCAACCCTGTTAATAATTATTATGTGATGCCAAGTCAGTTCTAGCGCTCATCCCTCCTAGGTTGTAGGAGACAAGCTGAAACCTGGCTTTTTTCACATTATGGCTTTACCCCAGAGTAATCTTGCGTGCTGGGCATATGCTTTCCTGGGACTTTAGCCCACTTATTCAGTTGCATCCAGTGAACAACCATGAGTGGTTATACTGAGTATTTAGTTGGTCTTTGAAGTGCCACAAGACTCTTAGTTGTTTAAAGCAATAGCTTTCTTGAATGGAGTTCAAAACAGTAAGAGTGACATAACTAGAATGTATAGAATTCCAACCCTGTTAATAATTATTATGTAATGCCAAGTCAGTTCTGGCGCTCATCCCTCCTATGTTGTAGGAGACAATCTGAAACCTGGCTGTTTTCCCATTATGGCTTTACCCCAGAGTAATCTTGCTTGAATAAGTGGGTTTTCTTCTTGTGCCTGTGAATTTGCCTTGTTCTGCTGCCTATTATTACTGTACTCTGGATCTATAATTATTTTATAGTTGTTATTCTTTTTACAGTATATTATTTTATTTTTAGAGATTACATCCCTTTTCTGTTGTTTTATGTGACTTTTATTGCTGGTTTTGTTACGTATTTTGTGCTGTTTCAATCTGTTCACTGCCCAGAGTAGGCAGCCTTGCCACTAGTTGGGCAGGATGAAAATATGAATAAATAAATAACATTTCCAGGGTTTTCTAGGTATGAAATACTCAAATGTGGTTTGCCAGTGTCCTCTTCTAGGGGCATCCTGGGACTGAGCAGATTGCTCAAGGCCACACAGGCTGGCTCTATTCCCAGTGGGGAATTGAACTCTCAGGCCACTGATGATGGCTTTTCATGGGGAAAGGAACTTCAGAGTGAGACTGTAGCATTAAACTGCTGAACGCATTGAGATTCAGGTCTACCATCTGTTATGTGATCTTTAAGTTGCTCTCATAGAGGCCAGTTCAATAATAACACTGATTTTTCTGTACCCTGGATTCTGCATTTTTTCATACATTCAACATATCTTTGCGTTTTGTGTGTTACCACTAAATGTTCTTCTTTATAAGTGGATACTGTCAGTAATTATTACTACTGTCTTTCTTCCTGTGTTCATTTTCATCTGACTCCAAAATCATGTTTATATAATCATCTGGCAGGTTAGGAGATTATAGGAGTTGCAGAGAGGAATGGGAGTAGCTCCTTAATTTAATTCTGAGAATATGGCTTTGACATTTATTTGGAAACCTTTTACTTGTTTCAGCTCTAAAATAGTGAGTGGCTTCCCCCACCTCAGCTTACTTACAGTTTTTTACAGTTTACTTCTCTTGATCTCATCTACTTTTATTTGAGTATAAAACTGTTGGTGAAAACTTCTTACATTGAGAGAGTCATTACAACTCAGGGCAAACTCCTCAGGTAAAATGGAAGGCGTATCTGGGATGAATTGGCAAAAAAAGGCCAAAAGAACCAGGAGGGGGTGGACATGTATCCTAAGATCATGGTTACTTCAAGCCTATAGGCATGAATACATATTGATGCTCGTGTTTAGTAAGGGCAGTTATTTATTGATTTTAGCAGAGGAGACTGTTTTGTAAAAAACTGAAACTTGTAGAAAGCCATGCACAACATAAAGTGGGAGGAAAGAATGAAGTGTCACAAACAAATGCACATACTTTTGGGCTCTGTTCAAGGACTAAAAAAGGTGCAATATGAGTTTCTCATGGAGAAGTTCAGGATTTTAGCTCAGAAGCTGCGCGAATGGCTCCCCTCCCTGGTTTCCACAGGCCAGCGGTTATCAGTTTAACTGACTATCCCTTTCTGCAAAAAGCTTTTCTCTGAAACTGTTAAGGGAGGGGAGGGGGTTTGTGTAGCCCGCCAGCGGTATTATTGAACTGCAACTCCCATCAGCCGCAGTCAATGATGAGTACTCATGGGAGCTGTAGTTCAGCATCTCTTGGAGAAGATGCCGAAGTTGCCCGATTTTGCCTTAAAGATCCGGCACGTATTTCTGTCAGGGCGAATTTGGATACCCAGCCAAATACTTGAGTTATTAAAAACTGCAAGGGAGGAGGAGGAAATAAATGGCCCTCCCCAACAGCCACCAATCTGTTCGCTCGCATTCAGACACGCACACACACACACAGAGCTTTCACTTAAAGTTCCAACTCAACCCGGAAGCTGCCCACGGTGTGTGGCCGTTCCCTTTCTTAGAACCGCAGTGCGCCAGCGGCGGCCATTTTGGCTATGGGCAGGGCGGAGACGTTCGGAGGGCGGGACGAAGGGGGAGAGACAGGATTGGTCGAGCGGCGGTGGTCCTCGGAAGGCTGCTTCCGGTCGGAGTTTGTCGGAGGCCCCGTTGGGTGGCTCGGGGGGTGGTGAGTCCGGGCGGAGGAGGGAGCGCCTGCGATGGGGAGGGGAGGCCCTTAGGGGGGGATCGTCCCACGAACGGGAGGCGGCGGGGGAAGGCTCCACGCCGACAGGGATCGCGAGGTGCCGAAGGAGGGACGGGGTGATGGTGGTCCAGCCTTTGGGGACCAGCGGGTAGCCGGGGTGTTTCAGACAACGATGGGCTTTTAAAAAGTTCTAGTCTTCTGGTGACGGTTTCCCGAAGCATGTGCAGAGTTCCTTTCCGCTGTTAAAGGCGTAGCCCTGCTTTGACTCTTCTTTAGGAACGTGTGGCCCTCCCGAGATTGGACCGCCAGTCCCAGCAACCCCAGCCAGCATAACCAGTTCTTGTAGTCCAAGAACATCCGATGCTAAAGAGGAACCTCTGGCGTCCCTCTGTAGAGGCCACATCCATGAGAAGAGGAGGATGGTATATGGAGGAGCGGAAGGAGAAGTTGGCACCCTCTTCAGTTCTTCCATATTTTAGCTGAATGACATGAAGCCATTTGTTAAATGGCTTGCTTTGTGATTTGGCCCAGCCAGTCTTTCACCCAACATTTAATTCTGGCATTCTAGTAACTTGCATTGGTAATAAACCAATAACAGATAAACCCCAAAATTTGGGCCAAGCCTTGCTTCTGAAAAATCAGATCCCAGGTGTAACTGTATCCTAGTACGCAGAGCAGGGCAATTTTGCTTCTTGCCGTGCTGTGTGGTTTCATCAAGGGTCTGTTCCCCTGCCTTCTCGGTGTATCTGTAACCTGCTCTGTGTTTTTATTTGTAGGAAGGTTATAGGTAATCTGAACAAGCCAGGTTACTGTTGTTCCCCTTAGCCTGCCTACCTTTATTCAACCAGCACTGGTTATTTGCCATGAGTTAATACCCACCCCACAAAATTTGAATTCAATTTGAAAAGTATGTTTTAAAACAGCAACAGAGAACAAACTAAGTGAACCAGCAGGTGGGCTTTGTGGATTTCAGATCTGCAGTGAGAGTATGTTTTCTGTGTGAATGCAAGTACTGTAGATTTCCGCTCTGCTGGTGAGTACAGATTTCCTGTAACAGGAGTGAACAGTTAAAAAAGCAAGAATAACAAACGTTTCCCTTTATTTCAGGAGTGACCTGGAGAGGTGGGAATACCCAGTTTATACCCACCATGTCTGGGATTGGGAACAAACGAGCCGCTACAGAGTCCAGTCCCTTAGGACCTCCAGAGAAGAAGGCTGGTGTTGAGGACTCTGGAACGACCGTGGAGACCATTAAGCTTGGGGGTGTCTCCTCCACGGTTTGTAGTTCTTTCATTGTTCTCCTCTGTATCACAATTAGTAAGGTGGCAGAAACAATTCTAGCTCCTGGGAACCTTGTGTTTCTGATGAAATTCCATCAACCATTGGCAAGGTCTGAGGCCTGCCACTTGTGGAGATGACATTGGCATTCTTGTGTCTGGGCTGCAGCCTCTGAAGGAGAGGCTTCGTTGACCAAGTGTTGTTCCATCCCATTCTCTGGAAACAAACACAACACTTGTGCATAGACATCTCGCATAACTGGGCTAGAATTCCTTTTCCTGTCACGGTTGTTTTCTGTGCTTCTCTTTATTTTAGGTATTCATTAACATTTTATGATCCCCCCCCCAAATCATAGACACTTGAGGTGACTAATGCCAATAACATTCAAATTACAATTTTGGAAATACTTTGGGGTGTATGGAGAGATATAATTCAAACCACTTCCTGCAATTTGAAGTAATATAGGCCAGACCTGTGTTTTCTCTCCCAAAGAGCACTAGACCTGAAATGAGGCTTTGTTAACTGAGGTTGGTGTGATTTCAGGAAGAGCTTGACATTCGCACCCTTCAGACCAAGAACCGAAAGCTGGCAGAAATGTTGGACCAAAGGCAGGCTATTGAGGATGAGCTGCGGGAACATATTGAGAAGCTGGAACGGCGGCAAGCCACAGATGATGCCTCACTGCTGATTGTCAATCGCTACTGGAGCCAGGTCTGCTTTGTACTCTATCTCAAACTCAAGAACCTGTGTAGTTGTTAAGAGTATTGAACTGGGATTTGCAAGATGATGAAACTTACTGGGCCCATCATCCTCTCTCCATCTGGCCTACCTCACAAGATTATTGTGTGGCCTGCATGAAGAGACAGAGAGTGATTGGAAAAAAGGGAAGATTGTGAGACTAATAAATACAGAAATATAAAGTATCGGTCTCTTAATTTTGTTCACCCTGATTTCTTTTAAACAATTCGTTAGAGAGGTTTCTGCTTTTCTTCCTTCAGTTTGATGAAAATATTCGTATCATTTTGAAACGCTACGATTTGGACCAAGGCCTCGGAGACCTCTTGTCAGAGCGGAAGGCTCTGGTGGTGCCAGAGCCAGAACCTGATTCAGATAGCAATCAGGAGCGCAAAGATGAAAGGGAGCGAGGTAAGGCCCCTGGGCATGGTTGCTTCAAGGTTGCTTTCAGAATGCTACTTAACCAGTCATTAAGCAGAGGAAAGGGGTTACCGTGGGTAACAGGTTCATTATAGGATGGCAGCAAATGGTTGGTTAATTGTTTGTTTTATTTTTATTGGCAAGGTTGGACAGTTACACTTATGGGATTTTTTTTGCTTCAGAATAACTTGTCTTAATTTGGGACACTACACACTTTGATTAGATACAGGTGGGGGTGGGCATTACCTGTTTTGCTTCAAGTAGCAAAATCTTTTGGGCTGGCCCCGAATGTAATTTTATGGGTAATAATTAAGCAGAGAGGTGTGGGAGGATTGTGTGTTTGGATATTCAGAAGTTCAGGTCTGCATCCTGTCATGGCCCTATTTTTGCATCGTCATTTATTAGGGGAGATCTTAGAGCCTGCCTTCTCCTTTCTGGCCACCCTGGCCAGCAGCACCAGTGAAGAGATGGAGTCTCAGTTGCAGGAACGGGTGGAGTCTTCCCGCCGAGCAGTCACTCAGATTGTGACCATGTATGATAAACTGCAGGAGAGAGTGGATGTGCTGTCCCAGAAGTTGAACAGTGGAGGTATGGTATAACTTAAGGTTTCCTCCAGCTTGGGGTTAATTCAGGTACGAATGCACCACATCAGGTAGTGAAAGCATTCATATGTTCAAAGCATTTCTATTCATGTGGTGGAAGACCCCCTGGACTAATCCATTTTTCACATTTTTATCTGACAGACACATTACAATCCTTAGTACTTCCTCCTTTTATAGTTGTGCTACACAGTTAATAGAATTTATCAGATGAAACCCACTGTGGTTTACTATTAAATGATCCCAATGGGAACATATGCTGTAGAATTACAGCTCCCATCATCCCTCATTGGTGGAGGCTGATGGAAGAAGAAGTCTAACAACAAATGGAGAGACTCAGGTTCCCCACTTATTCTCACAGTTGAATGCAGGCCTCCTCAAAGTGCTGTAGCTGGTTGGCACAGCTGGCAGAAGCTCAACATTTGGGTCAGTTGTTTTTTGGCCAAGAGTGAGACTGCTGGCTTCCTGTCTTTATTCAAAATGCCTGACTTTGTTGTAGTCTTCCCCACTGTAGTGTCTGTGGACACTGGTTGGAGCCACTGTGGCCTAACACTCTTCATGATGGGCCTTCTGCTGCTTTAGCAGTCTTTCTTTGCTATTGTCTTCACTAAAAGTTTAAACCATGGCAGACGTATCTCCTCCAAATCTGAACATGAAGACGCTGTGTAAGATAGTGTTTTATTATTTATTACATTTTTCATCATCTGAAAACTTGAAGTTGCACTCTACCTTGTGATGGAGAATGGAGCATCGTTCCTGTGCTTTGAAAGTCTGGCTTTACAACCATAAGGGCTAGAAATTAAAAAATACAAGAAGCAAATGATTTTGATTCTGAAGAAGCTGAATTTGTTTAGACAGTACCAGCATCTGCAGAAGACTTACAGTGTAACAGACAGTTTCAGATGTATTTGTAGTCATGTTCCAAATGCCTCTCTCTTTTAGACATGTCTCTAATGGAAGAAGCTGTCCAGGAGCTGAACACCTATTTAGCAAATGAGAACAAGCGGCTTCAGGAACTGGCCGATTTGCTTCAGGAAAAGCACCGCACCATGTCTCAAGAGGTACAAGGGGATGGACACCATTCTGGTCATGCTTCTGCACCAGGTTATAGGGCTACTTTGGCATGCAGCATAAGCAGCCACAGTGATACGTGTATATGTTTGTTAATGGGGGCCAGGAAACTGATGGACCAGCACTCTGTAGAAGTGAGGCCGAGAACGTGAGACTGCCAGAATCCACCCAGTGCTGGGGTGCTAAAGTGCTTTTCCACTGTGTTTGCTGTGGAGAGTATGTTTTTGTGTGAAAGAAGGAAGAATGGAGCCTTCTAGAAAAGGAAGAATTGGTATGGTGAACTATCACCTCTCAAAATGCAGTGCAATAGTTACAGTTAATGGAGAAAGCTTTAGTGCTTTTCCTTCTGTGAGTGGGCAGTATTTGGCACAGTGCAGCAGCAAAGAAATGGGGAGGGGCTGTAATTCAGGGAGACCAGAACCACATTGGGAGCAAAGGATATTGAGAACGCATGAATAAATGCTGTTGCCGCAGCAGCCCCCTCTTAGGAGGTTAGGGTGGGGAAGCTGTGGCCAGGTGGGAATGATGGTTGTGCTAACCATCTGCTACTTCAATTTCTGTTGTGGCCTCTGAGGTTACTCCTGAAGAATGTTAGGAAAATGTAGCTAGTGCAAAATGCAGCATCCAGATTGTTTTTGGGTGTGTACTTTATTGACTAATTTACACTGTCCCTCTGTCCACTGCACTGGTTTTCAGTACCTCAACAGGTATAATTCAAGGGACTGTTTATTACCTATGGAGCTATAAAGAGTTTGTGGCCAGGGTTTATTTTCTCTGTCTATCTTTGAGTAAGCATTTCTTGTTTTCCACTTTATTTTAATTATGTTGTTTATTCATAGCCAGTTTTTGTTCTTCATGGGGCATTTAGTTGGTCATAAATATGTTTCCATGCCTAGCTATTGTTTTTATGTTTTGCATCTTTTGTAAGATGGATTCAGCTATTCCTTTTTTTGTGAGCAGAAAGTAGGGTGTATATGTACAGTGTCTGAAAGACAGTCATCTCCTGCATGAATCTCCCCCAGATTATATCGGACAAGAAGAGGAAAAAAATGAAAATAGAGAAGACGAAAACATTGTGGCATCTTAAACACTAACTGCTGTATTTTAATGTGAGCTTTTGTGGACAAGCCTCATTCCTCAGACACTTGTGGACTTGTCCACAAAAACTCACATTAAAATTGTAGTATAAGCCTTTTAAGGTGCCTCATTTTTGACTTATTTATTTTTATTTACTTTTTGCCTGATATGTTAACACAGACAAACACAGCTACCTCTTCTAAATCCACAGATTAACATTTCTCTTACAAGTTCTGCTTCTAAAAGAAATGGAGACATTAGGCATTGGGTCGTGATGGCACCCTGCCAGTTGAATTCTCTCCTTAAGAAGATTGGATTGGCTCTCTCTTGGTTAAGTTTAGATGGATTATTAAAAGTATTTTTCTTTCTTTTTTGTTCTGTTTTGTGAATTATTTTGAAATAAAATCTATTCCCACTGACTGGCCTTAATCCAGTTGCTAGACCTGACTAAAGTAGACTCATTGAATTAATTGAATGATGAGTCAACAGTATTCAGTCTATTATGGTTGGGTTTCCCGGTTGGATTCAGGTCCCTTTTAAAAAAAGGATTTTTAAATAAATGTTTTTTTCAGTGATACCTTATCATTTTAAATATTTTGAAACTCCAAGCTAGGATTTGTGAATAGAGATGGGCATGAATTGTGGGTTGGCGGGTCGGCCCGCACAACTATTCTTCAGCAGCTCCAGCTTCCCTTGCTGTGCCTTCTCTGGAGGGCGCCAACTGAGAGACAGTGGTATGGCTTTGCAGGCCTGCCTCCTCGGGGTGCTGTCTCTGAGTGGGTGCCCCCGGAGGAGGCGAGGCAAGGAAGCTAGGGTGGCTGCAGAACAGCTGTGCAGCCGAACCGTGCCTAGCTGCAGTTTGTTTCCATCACTGTTTGTGAATAGGGTATAGTGTGTTTATGGAGGTAGAAAAAAAATGAAAGTTGACCTTGTAGTTGAGATCTGCAATCTGGAACAAAGCAAGATTAAGCCATTCACTGAATGGACACTTTGGTTGTGGCGTCATTTGTTCTTCACGTATGCATTACCCAGGATGTGCAGCAAGAAACGATTTGCTGTATAAGCCCTAAACATAAACTGGAAGAGGGACAAGCAGTTGAATGAACATGTGAGAGAAAGGGAATTTCTTTGGTAGCCAACAAAACAAAGGGGTCTATGTTGCTAAATTCCACCTAAAATTGCAAGCATTCAGTAAACTGCATCCAGGTATCTCAAGAAGCAAGTCAAATATTTTTTCAAATCAGCGTGCCAAAAGTCACGATTCTGTCACTGATCTGGAAACCACAGTGAAGACAACAAATTCTTTCATTAAGTGACATCTCCCTTTCCTTCCTTTCCCCCCACCCATTCCATCAATGCAGTTTTCCAAATTGCAAGGGAAAGTGGAGGCGGCAGAATCTCGCGTCTCTGTGCTGGAGACCATGATCGACGACTTGCAATGGGACATTGACAAGATCCGCAAGCGGGAGCAGCGGCTCAACAGGCACTTGGCAGACGTCCTGGAACGAGTAAGCCTCGGTGCGCTGGGTAGAGGTTTCAGGGTTGGATCAGCTTTGGAAAGGCTGGAACAGTGTTAGCAAGAGGAAGAAAAATCTAGGAAGCTTGGGAAAACAGATTTCTAGAAAGCTTTGTGTCAGTTTTATATACATGTCCTACTTTCCAATGAGCATCTCCCAGTGTTGCTAATGTTATAAAGTACGTACAACAATTGGTTTTTCTATGTAAAAATGTAAACAAATTGATCCATTGTGATAGAGCTGGTTGCAAGTAGAGAGAAGACAGTAGGTCTTTTTAAATAGTGGGATCGAGAAAGTAATCCCAAAACAACACCATTGTTCTTGTACAAGGGAGAAGAGATGAACCCTCTGCTTCAGGGTTAGGATTCCCTTGAATCTCCAGTTGAAATAGTTGTGCTTTAGGTATTTAATGCTAGGGGAATTCTTAAAGGAACTTTTGTTCAAATTCTTTATTTAAAAGCAGGATTATGCTTATAAGCAGCTTATTATACATGCCCAAAATCCATTTGCGTGAAAAAAAGAATATGGAATCTAGCTTAGAAATCGGCACTCCAAGGAGCATAACTTGTATTTCTTTGTTTAGCTTTTATGATTGAGAAAATATGCTTTAAAGTTAGTGGATAACAGTTTCTCTGTATACTAGTTATTTTTATGCCATCAGCAGCACTGCTTGTTGGCTGATCAACTTGAAACCCACTTAGTTAAAATAGGAACGGTCTGCCTTGGGGCCTGCTTTGATTGTTGGTAGGTGATCAGGGAGAGGGTGTCCTTTGACTCTCTAGACTTCTCAGCTGCTTCCAGTATTGCAGCTTCTCCTGTCTTTCCTAGGTATCTGTGTGGGATAGGACTCGGAGGGCGTTCTTTTACTCTGGTCTTTTCCAGAGGAGTGCACTTGTTTGTAATTCCTGTATTTGTACTTTTATGGCTAATTGATTTCTACAGTATTTATATTCCAGTTTTGGCTAGAATTTGTTTTATGTTTTTCTTATGAGCCGCCTTACAAACCACTTTTGTTGGGAAAGTGATAAAAATCTAATCCATGCATAGTAAATTAATAGGCATGACAATGGCTAGAATCTTCTTGTTCCTCAGTGCAGCAGGGTGCAGTGCAGCAATGAATTGCTGTTAGTTAACAAATTATTACTTGTATTTTTAATTGCTTACTTGTTGTGTGAGTTAGTGTGCAGCTAGGGATATGAGCAGCAACTTGTTTACAAATGGCAATTTGCTGCTGTACAGTAATTTCTTCCTTTGGGCTTACCCTGGTATACTTAACCAAGAGGCTTCTGGTCAACAAGGACTTTCCTGAGTTGTGCTCAGTTTTGTGAGCAAATGTAGTAACTGTGTTCTATTTGTAGCAGACTTTTTTTTATTAACTTGTTTTAAATGTAAAACTCATGTCATTTTTGCAGGTGAACTCGAAGGGGTACAAGGTCTACGGCGCAGGCAGCAGTCTGTATGGAGGTACCATCACGATCAACGCTCGAAAGGTAAAGGTTGAGGCCGCACAGGAGGATGGGGACGAAAGCAGGGGTAGCTGGGAAAAGGAGGGGCAAAGATACGTGATAACGTTCAGTTCCTGTCATTTTTCTGTTTAATAGTTTGAGGAGATGAATGCAGAACTTGAAGAAAATAAAGAACTTGCCCAGAACCGCTTGAGTGAGCTGGAGAAATTGCGTCAGGATCTTGAGGAGGTGACAGCTCAGAATGAGAAGCTAAAGGTATGCATTGGCAAGTGAGAAATTTGTGTTTGTTTAACGTTGGGGATTTCACTCTTGTATCCCAAAAATATTACTTTTGTAAGAATAAGAATGCAAAATCTTTGGGGGAACACCAGCACCGCCTCCAGAATTTGTGAATTGGAATTTTTGGAAACAAGGCCATAAAGAAAACTCATGCAGAGATGTATCATTTAGCCTCCTTTTGAAATTAGCTTGGAGAGGATTTGGGAACAAAAAGGATGAAGCTAGAAGTCAGAGTCAGAAAGGCTGGTAGTGCTTTGCCTCACACAAAGATCTCCAGAGCCTCACAACACTTTGCTGCCCAGGAGAATGCTACATTTGGGCAGCTATACCCAAAATGCAGGATTGCTGGTTCTAACCCTAGTGATCCTTGATGAGGAGGTGTAATTTTCCCTTAGTTCCATAGGGTAAATCATGGACTTTCTGGTGAGGTCAAAATTATTTATCTTGGAACACATTGGAAGGAGGCAAAGTTGGAGTAAGCACAGATCAGACAATCTCTCTTATAGCCTTGATTAGTTCTCATGGTACATGAGATCTAGATAAGGTACATGTAGGATTTGAGCTGGGTCAGTACAAAGGTAGCACCCTTTGATATATTAATCTAATTGTTCTTACGGTGTCTGGGTGTATTTCTGCAAGTAGTAGCTGTATGCATGCGTTCCCAAGATACTACTTTTGATTTGTTACTATGTTGAGCTTATTGTAACATGCAGCATGTACTTGTTTGTGATGCAGTTCTGCCACCTTCCAGGCCAGATTAAGCAAGCCAGAGGCACTCAGAAATTATGTTGTCATCCTGACGCTTAAGGGCAGTTCCCTGAGCCAATTGGCAAACATGATCCAATTTCCAAATCCAGAAGCAACTCATGTATTGTTTGTGCAATGCAGGTGTTGCTTTTAGTTTAAAGGGAAGGCTGAGGGAACCTGGCCATTTACTTGTTGCTTTGAGATACACACTTGGGCATCCTTTTATGTTGTGATGAGACGGTCTGGGTTGTGTATGTGTCTTCTACTGGGGAGTCTGATTTGGAACACAAAAGGGTAACATACAAAACATGTTTCATTTATTTTCACAATTTTTACAAGACCTTTATCGGTGTTTCCTAACTCATTCAGCTGTATTTTACTGGATAAGGATGGAATGCAGTCTTGGAATGTGATCTTTATGTGCTTTGTTGCAAGGATACAGCTAAAATCAGACCAGCAAATTGGTTATCCGTATCATGAATTTTTAATATGAACCAAAGCCATGAATGTGATGCTCTCATCCAAAAGCCACGAGTCTCAGAGTTACCTTTGATTTTGATCCCAGGATGGGGCCGGGGATTTCTTTACTGTGAATTGTTTTGAGACATAGGACAGTTTGGCATTGTGCTGAGTGCAGAATTAGTGGTGTCTCTTCTTGCACTATGTGATTCAGCACCCCAATTTTTCCTCTTCTTATCCCCACACCATTCTGTGGGTCTCCAGGTGGATCTCAGGCGAGCAGTGGAAGAGGTAGTGAAGGAAACCCCAGAATATCGCTGCATGCAGTCACAGTTCTCTGTTTTGTACAATGAGAGCCTCCAGCTGAAATCACAGCTGGATGAAGCCCGCACTCTGCTTCATGGCACCCGAAGTACCCATCAGCGCCAGGTGGAGCTCATAGAGGTAACCCTTTCCTCCAATTGTCTCCTTCTGCTATCATCTTGATCTGGGAGAATAAGCTATGGCTATTTATAACAGGGATGGGAAAGGTGGAGCTTCTGGGCTGCATCTCTCCTCCCAGTGGGAGCATATGGAAACAAACACACCCCTGGACATTGCCTTAAGTGGCCTTGACACCTGCAGAAGCTTGGTGAAAGTGCCTTAAGGACATTTTGTGAACAACAGACGTGATCTAGGTCTCACCTGGAACAGTTTGCAATCCAGATCAGAACAGAGGATGAAATGGAATTGCAGTGTTTGGTAATGGGGTCATGAAAATGAGTTCTGTTAATTAAGACTTCTTGAAAGCTGTTTCTCTGGTCATGTGTGATAGCCAGGAATTGTGTTCAAGTGACCAGGTAAATGAACAAGCTGGTGATGCCACCTGGTGGACAGATCAGCCCTGTCTTTGAGCTGTAGTGCATTTAAGCTGCTTTTTCTGCAAGAAGGAGGAGGGGAACCCTAGATCAGTGGTTCTTAACCTTTGTTACTCGGATGCTTTTGAACTGATAGTGCATTTAAGCTGTTTTTTCTGCAAGAAGGAGGAGAGGGAACCCTAGATAATTAAATTTCAGGATGCAGCCTGTATTTCATTGTAGGGCATAGGCTCTGCCCCTAGATCAGTGGTTCTTAACCTTTGTTACTCGGATGCTTTTGAACTGCAACTCCCAGAAACCCCATTCAGGAGAGCTGGTGGTGAAGGCTTCTGGGATTTGCAGTCCAAAACTCCTGAGTAACCCAAGGTTAAGAACCAGTGCCCTAGATCATTAAATTTCAGGATGCAGGCTGTATTTCATTGTAGGGCATAGGCTCTGCCTACATAACTGACACTTGCCTGGTGAATGAGGTTCTAGGTAGCAGGAGGGTTTCGGAGAGCCCATCAGTATGATAGACCAATGCTGATTAGGTATAAGACAGCTTCAGATGTCCACATTAAGTTTTGCTGCAATTGTCTTAACACTGTATGCACAGTAGAACTTGTAGTTTGTTATTTTTTTTCTGCCAGAGAGAAAGAAAAAAGGAATGATATAAGACCTAATTAAGACAAAATAATATAAAACTGGCTTCTATCAACTGTAAATATGGTCCTGAGATGTTTGAATGGGTTTTAATTTGTAAACATTGCTGTTTTTGCATTGCCAGTTGAAACCATTGCATGCTGGGGTGGGTTGGGTGGAGACCCTTGAGTCCCTGTTGCTTTGTTAGAGAGTAATCTCCCTGTGGTCTGTCTTAGACTTGGGAGCCAGACTATATGACCAACATAACTGGTTGTGTGGGTTGTGGTGCATGATTTGGATAACTTGCAGCACCAGGAAAGAAAAAGGGTGCTGGGACTGTTGGAAGAACAAGACTTCACTAATGGTGGATACTTGTTCTACTCCGTACCACAAGCCAGTAGACATATAGGAAAGATCTAGAAATGCTGCATAGTTGTTTCTATGCTTCAGAGAATTCTGCCCTGTTCATTCACATGCTATGTAGGAAGAGCACCTGCATTTTTCCTTTAATAAAGTGTGCTGCTTATGTATCGCCCCATAGTGCTTAAAGCACTCTCTGGTCAGTTTACAATTTAATTATGCACGGTATACATTGCCCCTCCCACCCAGCAAGTTAAGTACTCAATTAATCAACCTCAGAAGGATGGAAGGCTGAGTCAGTCTTGAGCCCGCTACCTGGGATTGAACATGGGTTGTGGGCAGAGCTTTGGCTGCAGTACTGCAGGTTAACCCCTGTGCCACAAAGCTCCTTTAGTCCCTTGTGGCAGCCGACAAGACAAGCTCCAGCCTCCAAGCAGTAATTGTGGTTTCTCTCAACAGCGGGATGAGGTCAGCCTACACAAGAAATTGCGCACAGAGGTGATCCAGCTGGAGGACACCCTCGCTCAGGTCCGCAAGGAGTATGAGATGTTGCGCATTGAGTTTGAGCAGACGCTTGCCGCTAATGAACAAGCAGGTACTTTATACTGGCTCTTCTGTAAAGACAAGAAGGTTTTTTGGCATTTGATTCTTGGCTTGAGAGGTGTCCAGATCATGGTCCCTCTCATGGAGCCTGGGACAAAGGTTCCCTGTTCCTGCCCTAAGAAGTGTGAGACAGTCTTTGCATGTCAACGTCATGGTTTTTGGTGTCTCCTCCAAGTCCTCATTCCTCATTTCGCTGGCTTGATACAGTTACTTTTCTGTCTTCTGGGATGGTAGTCCATTTGGTCCTCCAGCCGCTTTAGGTCCTCAGCTTCACAGTCTCTCAGCAAAGCATCCCCTAGCTTAGAACATCTAGAGGGCAAAAGAGTCTTCTCTGTCACACTTCCTTTGAGAGAACTGAGCTCCTCCTGCTGTAACATGGCTCATCCCACATAATTTTTTTTTAATGTAGGGCCCATTAATCGGGAGATGCGCCACCTCATCAGCAGCCTCCAGAACCACAACCACCAGCTCAAAGGGGAGGTGTTGAGATACAAACGGAAGCTGAGGGAAGCCCAGTCTGACTTGAGCAAGGTAAGAGAATAAGAGGATAACAGCAATATATGGAAACAAGTTCTGCTAGTTATATTTGAAGTGTATGTGTGTTTGTGTGTTTTAGAGAGACTAATTGAGAGAAAGGGGGTTATGTCTTGTGTGGCTATTTGCATTACAAACAATAGGACTATTTACTTCTTGTACTTCTGTTCTTCCTTTCCTCCAGTAAGCTCATGGCTTTTTGTTTGTGCTTTTGCCTCACAACAACTCTGTGAAGCTAAGTAAGAATAACTAACCCAAGGATGCTCAGTGAATTTCATGGCTTAGTAGGGACTAGAACCTGAACACCCCCAAGCCCTCGTTCAGGTTTCTAACCATAACACCACATGGTTGCTAGAGTAACCAGAACATCATTAAAAAAGTATTCTCAGGTTCTTCATTGATTAAGGCACACTGATATTTTTAAGGAGAGGCAGAAAAAACAAAGAAAATACTGTAGGCAATAACTGCCACCCTGATTAATGAGGGAAAGAAAACATACAATTGTCCACATTTATCCTTTGAAAACATAGTAGTGTTTGGGAATGGGGTTTCATAATGAGGGGGAAATTGGTTATATCTCCAGACAGTTCCCAGTATTATTGTGTTATTTTTGTATTATTAAGGTTTTCTTAGTTGGTTTGTATTGTTTTAATTTTTGTAGTTGTTAAATACGCACATACATGTTTGTGTGTGTGTACGTACACATATGTGATGGCATGGTATGTTTTTTTGGAAAGATCCCAAATCCCAAACCTCAAAGATTCTGTCTGGAAAGTACTGTGCCAATACCTGTCAAGTCAAGTCAGGCCAAAGGGCAAGAGAAGGCCATTAAAAAAGTGTATGGACATAAGTATGCGTTATACATTTTGTTTGTGTGTGTGTTCCTCCTTTCTCCTCCAGACCCGTTCGCGCAGTGGGAGTGCTCTCCTGCACTCCCAGTCCAGTACTGAGGATGTCAAAGAGGAACCTCCCGAGATCAAACAGGAACCTGAAGATCCTTCTTCACAGGCCGCAACTTCCAAGGGAGCCTCCGAGGATGCCCCGGAAGCAAAAGCGAAACGGGATGAAGAGGAGAGGGAGCGGGAAAGGCGGGAGAAGGAGAGAGAGCGGGAGAAAGAGAAGGAGAAGGAGAAAGAAAAAGAGAGGGAGCGGGAGAAAGAAAAGGAACGAGAGCGAGAGAAGCAAAAGCAGAAGGAGTCAGAGAAGGAGAGGGAGTCCACCAAAGAGAAGGACAAAGGAAAGCATGATGATGGAAGGAAGAAGGAAGCTGAACTGGTCAAACAACTGAAAGCTGACCTGAAGTAAGAGAACTCACCTGTTTCTGCTAGGGCAGTTTCCCTTGATGGTTGGATGAGATGGCATTTAAGTTGGAAATATTGTTATTATAGCAAAGAGAAGAGGGGGAAAAATCCTAGGAGGACACATATTGGGTCCTGAGTCTTTAAAGTTAGAGATGACTGAGTTAAGTTTTCAAAATGTCTGACCTTGGCAGAGAAGAGGGAGTATAACAAACAGGCCCGCGTTGGAGTTCTTTTCCAGTTCTTTTTTTATTGTAGGCGTATTGAACTCTGGCTTGTTGGAATACCGTGCCTTGTAGTTATATCCAAGTCCAGAAATCTGGCTTGTTTCGCATTTATTTTCTCAACTACTCAACCAGAAACAGGAACTAGCAAACGAAAGAATCAAACAGATTAGAAATGGGTTGGTTGTTTGATTATGGGATAATTCTTTGCTAAAGTTAAAAATTGTGGACAATATGCAATTTAGCTTTATATACATTTACAGTTGTGCCCCGCTTAACGATTACCCGCATCATGACGAAATCGCTTCACAACGTTTTTGCGATCGCAATTGCGATTGCAATACGATCGTATAAATGGGGTTTTTTCGCTTTGCGAAGATCCGTTCCCTGCTTCGGGAACCGATTCTTCGCATTACGACAATCAAAACAGCTGATTGTCAGGCTTTCAAAATGGCCGCTGGGTGCTCAAAATGGCTCCCCGCTGTGCTTAGGGACAGATTCCTCGCTACACAGGCACCGAAAATGGCCGCCGTATGGAAGATCTTCACTGGACGGTGAGTTTTTGGAATGCATTAACCGGGTTTTAATGCATTTCAGTGGGTTTTTAAATTTCGCTTTACGACGATTTCGCTGGAACGAATTAACGTTGTCAAGCGAGGCACCACTGTATATACATTAAATGGACCAATTTTTATTAGCCAGTGTTAGAGAAGGGTGTGGGTAGAGCTGCTTTTCTCTGAAGCTCTGAGCCTCTGATTTCTTGAAACTCTCAGTAAAGGAAAGTGGATTTTGCACACTTTCTATTAAGCATCTGGTTGTGACTGAAACTGGTGCTGCTAGTAATGTGTCTGAGCCCTAACATGGCGGCAGGTAAGCATAGTTGTTTGTTGGAATGGTGTCATGTTCTGTTTTGCTCTTTACAAATAAGCAGGGTTTTTCCCCCACCTTATTCAGGAAGGCTCAAGAAAGCCAGAAAGAAATGAAATTGCTGTTGGATATGTACCGCTCTGCTCCAAAGGAGCAAAGAGACAAAGTTCAACTGATGGCTGCTGAGAAGAAGGCCAAAGCTGAGGTAAAAATCTCTGCCACTGCCGAATCTATTTATTAAATTATTGCTATTGCTATTTTGCCTCTCTGTCCCATTTGGAACTGTAAGTGGGCTTGTAACTAAGTAACTAAGTAAAAACAGTATACAGTAATTGTCTCTTTTGTTAAAGTCTACTTCTGGAAACACCCCAGTTTTTCTTCTTTGTGAAATGGAAAATTTCTGTGTAGAAATGGTACTCTGCCTAGTGCTAGGCTCTGAAACATAATAAACTTGATGTTCTGGTTTCTTCAATTTCTTTTTATGTTCTCTAGATGAATTTCTTTTTGACTATTTTGGGCAGTGTTTAGTACAAACCTCCTCCATTTTGGTTGTGCTTTAGTTTGTGATTCACTTCCTCAGTTTAAAATTCACTCCTCCTTTTCTTACAACTCTGCTCGTTGCAGGTGGAAGAGCTAAGACAAAGAGTGAAGGAGCTGGAGGACAAGGAGAAAAAAGAGAGCAAAAAGATGGCTGACGAGGATGCCCTCCGGAAGATTCGAGCAGTGGAAGAACAAATAGAATACTTGCAGAAGAAACTAGCGATGGCTAAGCAGGTGAGAGAATGTTAACCGGGAGGCTTACTGGCTAGTGGAGGGGAGGGTGGATGATGAACCTCTTAAGTAGTTAATTGGGATGTCATGGGAATTTAGGATTGGGATATGTTTCCATCCTAACTTTGTACCATTGGTCCCATGTGATGGAATCTGATTTCTCCTGGTCAGACAGTTAGATCTTACCAATATTCTCCCTACCTCTAGAGCAGGGGTCTCCTAACCTTTGACCGTGAGGGCCACACCAGATATTTTCAACATTTTTGAGGGCTGAAGGACCAGGAACACGTGCGTGGCCCCATGCATGCATGGACTCACACGCCCCCGCACGCGCACCCCCCACCCACACAGACACACACCCATACGTTCTTATTTATTACATTACCTTTGAAAAGTAATTTTGTTTCATTGCTATTACAGGTAGCTAGGTTACTTATAATTCATTTCTTTTAAACTCTTAATTAAACTGAGTATAATTGCCATAGGCTGAAGGGTGCAAACGATACCAGCTCAGAGGGATGTGTGTATCATTTCATTGGTTTGATCAGTTGTACCTAACCATTTTCAGCCCCATCTTTTGGGGAAAAAGCAGGGAGGAAATTCAATAAATAAATTGTTACAAGGAAGCCATTTTCCATATAAAAAGGGATGGGTAACTTGTGGCCATCCAGATGTTGTTAGACTCTAGCTTCACTTCAACCAATAGGACCAATGCTTGTTCTAAATCTTTCATCTTCCAGGAGCTCCAACCAGGGTAAGCAGAGATCAGGGATTCTGAGATTTTAAGTCTGAAATGCACAGAAGACCAACCATGGAGAACCATTGATCTAAAGCAGTGGTTTCCAGCCTTGGGTCTGCAGGTGTCCTTGGACTAAAAGCCCCAGAAGCCTTCCACCACTAACTGTGCAGGCCAGGATTTCTGGGAGTGGTAGTCCAAGAACACCTGGCCACCCAATGTTGGGAAGCGCTGATCTTAAGGGTCAGTGTTTCCCGCCCCAGGGGTATGTGGGGAAAGCAAGTTGCACCACCCCAAAAATTCACCATCTCTTCCTTCATATGTACAGATCATATGAATATTAACACTGACCATGGCATCTTCCATGCTATCTGTATAGCATTCCTTCACAGATTTAATCTTTCCTACATCCTTTGTCAGACAGCCTTGCATCCTTCTTTTAAAAAATGGGAAAGAGGACATGTAAGGGGTGGGGTGTCGCTTTACAAAGGAAGTGTTGGCATCGTAACTCTGTTCCTCAATTGATGTACAGGAAGAAGAAGCATTGCTCTCTGAAATGGATGTGACAGGCCAAGCCTTCGAAGATATGCAAGAGCAGAACATTCGCCTGATGCAGCAGCTGAGGGAGAAGGATGATGCCAATTTCAAGCTCATGTCTGAACGCATCAAATCAAACCAGATTCACAAGCTGCTCAAGGAGGAGAAGGAGGAGCTGGCAGACCAGGTTCTTACCTTGAAGACACAGGTGGGTGAAGGAAAAGAAGGAGAGGGGCCCTGAGTCCAAACCCAATTCTTCCTTGAACCAACGTATAGTTTGAGGCTGTGGTTGTGTTGAACGCAGTTGGGTTTAACCTTGATGTCTACTTAAGATCTATATGTATGTGTATGTATATGGAATATATGTGAGAATGCATATGCCACAATTCCACAGGGGCAAAGAAAAAGCTCAAAACACAAAACCAAGTGGAGTACTCAACTTCCTGGAATTTTTGCCTTTCATTTTGAAACAAAAGCCAATGTTATACTTAGGATCATATGGTAGGAAGCAGTTGAGTGCTGACTTATGTCCCTAATTCTCACCAGCATTGTAAGCTCATAGTTTCATACTGCAAGGTGCCTGTCTCTCTGTGTGTGAGTGTATATGTGAAAGAGACAAAGAGTATGATGACTGGATGCTTCTCTGTAAACAATAGTTATCTCGGAAGGTAAGACTTACAAAACCCCCCCCCCCCCCCCCACAGAGGTACTGCCCAGGGGGAAATAATTTTTAATTCTTCCTAATATCAAGTTCTCAACGCCTCCCTCCAACAAACAAGCCCAAACCCAACCTAGTATGTTAGGGCAAAAAGTTCTACTAGATCTTACCTTCTTCCATGTACAGTGGTGCCTCGCTTAACGATGTTAATTGGTTCCCAAAAAAACATCGCTATGGGAAAACATCGCTAAGCGAAACACCATTTCCCATAGGAATGCATTGAAAACTGGTTAATCCATTCCAATGGGAACGGATTACCGTCCTTAAGCGAAAATCGCCATAGGAAACATCGCTAAGTGAAACAATGTTTCCCCCATTGGAATGCATTGAAGCCTATTCAATGCATTCCAATGTTTTTGCGATGTCCGTTTTCGCTATTTTTAAAGTGTCTTAAAATATTCAAAAACTATTTTTAAATGCTTGGGATCGTTAGTGTACCTTGTAAAACCTTTGCAAACTTAATTTGGCTTTGTTCTGACTCTTCGTTAATTTTTGGTGAATTTCCCCCCCCATTGGAATGCATAGGGAACATCGCTAAACGAAGCGCAAAATCGCTCCAAAAACCTCATCGCTAAGCGAATATATCGTTAAACGAGGCAATTGCTAAGCGAGGCACCACTGTATTCCAGAATTCGAGTTGAATAGAGAGTGGTTTTGTTTTTGAGTTTTTTAATATGAAGGGACATTTGTTAGTATCATAACAAAGGGCAGCTGTTGTAGTCCACTGTCCTGGATGACTTCCTGCCACAGACTTCCTGAACAACTAAATAAAATTTCCAAGAGAGGCGCGGAGAGCTCTTAGTCCTTTGCCGTTTCTGTGAGGAACTGAAATTCTGGGGGTAGCTCACGAAGTTGTTGATCTGCTGTCACATTTATGCAGATCTTGTGCGAACAAAGCTGCTGCTAAAGCCCTTTCCCTTATGTGGGCTCTTCTTGACTGGTTCTTACCTGTCCCTGGTCAGGCATAGGCAAAGATCCTACAGCTATGGGCCCTGGACTTCCCTTATCCCGTGGGAATCACATTATGAACGATCAGAGACACAGTAGGATTTTATTTCTGCTCATAGGTACCCAGCCTGGGACTCAAAGATGAGTTACTGTAGTAGATTGCTCTTTATTGGGAGATTAAGGAGACTGGCAGGTCTTAAGAAGAAGAATGAATGTCTAATATAAATGGGGGTATTCATATATGAATATGAATATCTCCCCACAGGTGCAGAGAACGAGGGTCTGGCCCCCTGGGGCCAGACTGACCACTTACGATGCTGCCACGAGCTCCACAGTGCCTTCCTATCGCTAAAAGAGACAAAGGGTATGACGACTGGGTGCTTCTCTGTAAACAATAGTTGCAGAGTGGCTAATCCATCACAAACAACAGAGGGATAGGAAGGCAGTGCAGAGCTCATGGTAGTGGCAGAATCGTGAGTGGACGGTCTGGCCCCAGGGGGCCAGACCTTCGCTATCTGCACCTGTGGGAGGATATTCGTATACAAATACCCCCATCACTAGTGGCTAATGTCAGCTGCACAGAACGTCTTCAAAGCTAGACTGCTCTCTGTGGAAAGAGCAAGGAGGTGGAGAGGTGATGAGAGGAAAGCTGGATTGATAAAGTCAGAGAGAGTTTCGTAGGGGGATTTTACTCCTAACCTTTGCACCCATCTACCTTCGGTGCAAAGGTTCAGAGTTACAATATCAGGCACTGGTTTATTTTTAATTATACCATTGGTTAAGTTGAAGAGGATGTGAAGGGGTGTGTGTGACGGACCCTAACATTCTAATTTTGCCCTAGCCACTCAGAAACCGTACAAGGATGCCGGCATTCATCTGCACACAAAAACATATTCTATCCATGTAGCATAGATAAGTTCTGATTAGTAAATTAAGCTTGAGAAGGAAAAAGAAAAAATAAAGAATACAAAACCTGGAGACTGCAGTGATGCTTTGCCTTGTAGCAACATGAAATGTGTGGGAGACTGGCTGCAGGGAAATATGTACAGCTGGTGACATTGCTCTGAAGCCTGCCTCAGCTGTTGAGACTATCTTGGAAAGGTCTTGGATGTCACTGGGTGGCTAAGCTGTTAGTCTCTTTTTTCACTGGTTCAAGTCTCCTGATTTCCCTTTGGTCACTTGAAATGGCTTCACACTGTTTTACATTTTTAATCCCACAAGAGTTAGATTCACCATGAAGGTTCCATGATAGTGGTGAAGGGAGTTTGCCTCTGTATGCTGTCGGCAAATGCGGGTTATTTGCACTGCCTTATTCAAGTGCCTCTGATTCCGTCAGTATTTTGCCAATCCAAATACAGTGCAAAACCCTGTTTGAAGAAACAGAATTATCATTAGGCATGAGTATGGAAAAGGATTCTAATGGTTTTGAGATTCTCGTTGGAATTACCTATTAGGCAGCTCCCAAAACTTACAGTGAGACAAAGCATACCAGAGGTTGACGTGGCTGCCAGGGCTATTGGTTATGCATGGATGCATGCATTTTAAAAGTGTTTGGCAAACAAACAAACCTATAATCTGAACATGCACACAAAATGTGCTTTAGTCAGAGGGAGAGTATGGGAAGGGGGACAGGTACGACAGCATCCCTGTCTGAGTGCAGTTCCTTTTTGAGGAAAAGGGTGCTGTTCCCAGAATCGAGAGGGCTAAGATGACCAGAAGGATGATGACCTCGGCCGGAGAGCGGGTACAACAAGAAGAGGAGTTGGAAAAGGCGGGAAAGTCCGTGGGTGGTGGTGGTGACAAGACTGTTAGAAAAGGCAGGACTGGAGGAGGAGGAGGAGGAGATCATTGCTGGTGAGGTGGATATGAAGGTGAAGCCAAAGACCCTTCCCCCAGGATGGGAATAGGTCTGGGTAGAAAACCCATGGACAAATAAGTGGGAACAGCTCGTGGTGCCCCGAGAAGAAGTGGAGAAAGGAGATGGGAAGTGGTCCCAGTAAAACCCCCTTATTGGGGAGAAAAGAAGGCATGTGTGTGGGGCAGAAAGATTAAAGAGCAGAGGGCCAAAATCACTTGAGAGAAATGACAGAGGGGTCAGTGGCTCTGGAATGGTGAGATGCAGGGGTCTGAGCCAAGGAACCGTCTAACCAGGTCAACCACACACCGAGAGGATAGGATGCTCATGCTGTCAGTTTCATCAGACCTACTGATGACAGAACTCTTTCTTGAGGAAGGCCGTAAATAGTTGGATGTTGTTGTTACAAACCCATTTTTGGAAAAATATTCAAGCCCCCCCACACACACACACCGTTGCATGAAGAGGAGAAACTGATTACTCAATATTCAAGCCCCCCCTCACGCCGTTGCATGAAGAGGAGAAACTGATTACCGTGATAGACATTAATAGTTTTCTTGAGTTACCGGAAGTAAATGTTGAGAGTTTAACCCTGGACCTGTAGTTTTCTTGAATTACTAGAAGTAAATGTTGAGAGTTTAACCCTGGACAAAGTGTCATGTTCAATCGATCTCAAAGAGGAATCCAAGAGGTAGACCGTGAACCCTCACAGAGGGGCAGTGTATACTAAAATGCATATGTTAGGAAAAGTGGGTGAATAAATATGGATTCTGTGGGAAATGCTCCTCAACATCATGCAGGAAGAAAAAAGCAACAGCTCACAGCCTGATAGGAACAAAGAATGAGATGGAAGTGCACACAGGATTTGGAGATAATTGTTTTACACATCCCTTGTCAGCAGTAATAGATGGATGTTTAATGGTTGTCAACATTTTGATTAGTTACATTTCTGTGAAAATAATTTTGCAGGAATCTGATTGGAAAATTGCCCCATCATAACTCCATCAGCGTAAATTTCAGCTGCAGGCTGCCAAAATGAAAAAGTCAGGGTGGGCATTTTCTGTTGCAAAGCAAGTCGGTTGTGACGGCTGATGCCTAGGCCGACTGCTTCACTTGGGCAGTTCCCAGCTGAGTTATGCTGATGGAATTACCCCAACAGGATTCTGGTCTTTAATTAATTTTGTTCAGTTTTAAAAAGTCATTAATGTGGCCAGAAATGGTTATTAAAAAGTTTGAAAATTGATGAGAATAGCAAATTGTTACTCAAAAAGAACATCGTTAAAGGAACAAATTCTAGCATCATTGTTGCAGGTGTTCACAAATTGGGGATGATGAAATAAATTTCCATGAGTAATTTTCAAGTGCTGCTTTGAAGTGTAGAATTCAGTTTTGGGAGAATGTGTGTTTCATTTTTATTTAAGAAGCCAGTTTCCATTCCAGTAAGATCAGCTTGGACAAATGAAGAGAATGGCTGCCAACATCATAGAAGCCAGCAGGCAGAGATTTCTGGTGGTTATGCATAGTTTCTCATCCTTTCTGCAGCTTGGTAAAGCATAATAAATATTAAGAAAGACAGTTGGCAGAATATGTATATATCTCAGATTCCTGCCTTGCCTTGGTACAGGACTTTAAACATCCTAGTGCCAAGTATGGACAATTGTGAACTAAATGTATCTCTTCTTTGGTTTTGCTTCTTGAAGGTGGATGCCCAATTACAGGTCGTACGTAAACTGGAGGAGAAAGAGCACCTCTTGCAGAGCAACATTGGCACAGGAGAAAAAGAGCTGGGCTTGCGAACTCAGGCCCTGGAGATGAACAAGCGTAAAGTAAGCTTAAAGTAACAGCCACTGAACTAAAACTCCTAGGACCAGCCCTAACTCTCCTTGACAAACCATGAACCAATGAGATGCTGCTTTTGCAGCTTCAGCCACCCTTGTGGGGTTGTGCATTTAAGACTGTGGCAAAGGAGAGCTCCTTTCAACACCTTCAGCTTTTTAGAAGGGAGACAGAATACTAATTAACATAAAATGAAATGTAGCTTTTATTTATCCACTTTAGGATCTAGGTCTTGCTTTTCCTCGGGATTGAAAGAGACTGAGAAAAATAAAACCATTGGAGACCAGAGCTGAACAACAAAAGTATGAGTGTTAGCTTTTTATGTCATTCAGCCACCCCTTTGCCAGATTATCAATTTAGTCCTTGAGCTCTGTCACCGTTGCAGTTAGCCAAACCAAACTCTAAATGGGAATTGGCAGTAGCATTTTGGTAAAACTGCTGTTGAAAGTCTCAGCCCTGGCTAAAAAAAAGGACAGGCAATGGGCACTTTAAAAAACTAACTAAGAGCAGAACACACAGAAGGGAGCAGCTGTTCTAAAATTTGGAGCAAAATTCACTCTAGGGATAGATTTTCCTTGATGCCTAACTAGTACTTAATAGAGTTACTCTTGCAAGCTTCTTTTTCTGCCCTGCATTAGTTGCATGGATCCTTTTGAACATATCTCTCATCCTTAATAGGATGGGATGGTTATTTCATTTGATCTGCCTCTGGGGGAAAACACTCTGAAATCCTATACAGTTCTATAATTAGGACATGGAAACAGATTACAAACTCTCTGGCGAGAGCACAAGGGAAAGTATGTATTACATAAAGAAAAAGCAGTGGCCACAGAAGAGTTTGATGAAGACCAAAAAGGACAGTGGAAGGAAGGAAAGGCTGAACTTAAAAAAAAAAAGTAATAAGCAGAGTGGCACAATGAAAATAATTAAGTTGGCTAGGGCCTGTAGGGGAAGGGGAAGAGAATAGCATGAAAAGGTTCCCTGCTCAAGAAAGAGCATCAGTGCAACTGGCTGGATTGGTGCTTTCCTTAGTCAAAGAACAAAAAAATGGTTGTGTGCATCCGAATATCCCCCAGCTCTATGTTAGCCAACGACTGTACTGACTGGAGCCAAGGGTAATTGAAACCTAATGATATCTAGAGACCTCAAGATAGGGACCATTCACATTGAACTGCTAGATAGCTCAGTGGTTTAGGTATCTGGCTGTGGAGCCAGAGGTTGGGAGGTTGACTCGCCACTGTGCCTCCTTGATGGGCTGAATTCAATGATCACAAAGGTCCTTTGCAGCTCAGCAGTTCTAAGATGGTGATGATTTATTGTGGAGGTTTCTGCACAACTGTATTGCTGCACGTACATTGCATAAAAGCTGTGTGATTTTATTAGGATGGAATACTTCCCTGCTATTTCACCCAAATAATCTTCTCTTGGCCCTCAACCCAGCGCAGGCGGTTTTGTGTTGATAGCTGGCCAGCCTGATTGCTTTGGAAACTCCTAAGCAAGGGTATAAAAAGGATTATGCCCAAAGAAATGGGATGTTTGTGAAATCGGGGGGAATCTGCAGTCATGAGGGACCCTTCTCTATATCTATAGCTTCTTATGATAAAACAAAGGGCTTTATTGTCCCCATTCCCTTTTTGCTGGATTTCCCCTGCGATGCTGAATAAAATATTTTCAATTTTTCAAAAGTTTTTTCAGCAGGCAGGAGAAATCCAGAAGAAAGGGGATGTGGGAGAATACCACATTACTTTGATAAAACAGCAATACTTCCGAAACAGTTATTGGAATTGAAATTAAGCCCCAAAGAAGCACAAAAAGCAATGGGTAAGAAATGAAAAACCCAGATGGAATCAGAGGAGGGAAAATGTCTTTGAGCACCAAGAAGATATGGAAGTAGGCAACATTGATGGCCCTGTGGAGAGTGTACCATAAGCAAGCTTATCTGGCATGGGATTTGGAACCCTTTCAGGCTCTGAACAGAGTTAGGAACACTTACATTGCTTTCGCCTCCATCCCTGTTTACCTCCCCCATCACCCCTTATGTGGCTTATTTATTAGATTCTGAGTACATTCTTTTACTGACAGTTCAGTCTAAATCTGCACATGGAGCAGAACAAGGGGGTAAGGTGCACTCTTCAAAGTGCAGAGAAACTTCCTGCAAATAAGCAAGAGATTTCCCTCCATGTAGGCAAGGATTTATTTTTTAAAAAGTGGTATCCTTGCCAGAAGTCTCAGCAGGCAAAGACTACCTGACTTCTACCTCATTCTATGGGTGTCTTCCAGGGTGAGGGAGAAGAACCACCTCAGCAAGCAATAACCCCCAGCTCAGCTTTCATTTAAAGATAAGGCACATTTCTAAAAGCAAGTGACCATGCTTGATAGAGGAATTGTTCAAAAAAGTAATTTTTCTGAGCTCTGGTCAAACTACATGTAATTTATAGACTCTTCTCACCTACTTTCAGTTTTGAAATTGGCTATGGCAGCTTTCTGCCCTGCAACTATGTTTAATTTGGGGAGGGGGGAAGAATGAAAAGATATTTTGTGAGGTTGCTTAGTAGTGCATACTGGAGTTCTTATTCTTACAAGGAGGTTGGAAAACCTCTGCTTTATAAGTCGTAGAATCTCCCAATCAGCATGACCACTGTTCATGTTGACTTGAGTATTCTGAGATCCACCATATCCCTTTCCTCCCAGGCTCTGCCCACTTAGAAGCCAAAATAGGAGTCAAAATCTGTAGTTGTTATTCTGCCTGTTCATCTGGATACCAAGTCTGTCTACTCAAAAACCTGGAAATACTTATAACAGTTTCGTAGAAGGCACATCTGTCTATTTTGGTAGATCTGTTGGCCAGACTATCAGATTTACCAGAAATCATAGGCCTATTACCTGACATTTTCAGGGTATTTGATAGAAACAAGATGTGCAGTAAGCTTATAATTGTCCTGGACGGTGCAATGCCAGGGAACGAGGCATGTGCCCACAAGAAGGCAAATGCACATACTGTGTGGACAAATGGTCACAAAATTATTTTTTAGCAGTAGTTTCAGGACCCCTGGTTCTTGTGGCCAGTGTGGGATTTTGGCTGAGTTAGAAAATATATGTTTTAATGGTTTTGCACCTAACACTGTGCAGCTAAAATCCTTTGGACACTCATGCTGTTAACAAATCTAGCCTCCAAGCTCAAGGCTGTTGACAACATAAAGAGAAATGTTGTACTAATTCAAGAAAACTCAGTTATTTACCAGCATGTGATAACTGGGAGTGCAGAGGAGTGTGGGTTGTGTGCCCATGCACACACTGAGGAGGTTTTCCTCTCAATCTCTGAAGATCTTTCCAACATGATCTTGAAAGCTCAACAGCCACTTTTCAAAGGACTCTTGGTCAAAAAGCCTACAGGCGTCCTTCAAGGAGAAACAGGTGGAACATCCAATTCAAATATTTGGAAGTTTCTGTCCATTTTGGTAGTATCTACAACAAAAGTCACCGTGTTTTTCCTTTTGTTTGACAGGCTATGGATGCAGCTCAGCTGGCGGATGACCTTCGGGCCCAGTTGGAACTGGCCCAGAAGAAGCTGCATGACTTCCAGGATGAAATAGTGGAGAACAGTGTGACAAAGGAGAAGGACATGTTCAACTTCAAACGAGCCCAGGTAAAGGACGTGTGGGTGCTTGCTTGGCTGACCACCTTTGGATTACTGCCTTCGTTAGCAGTTTCATTTACTCTGATTCTTGGACTGTAACCTTTGCCAGTGCTTTGGTTTACACCACTTCAGTGTCTTTGTTTTTATGACATGGCTCATCTCAAGCTATTTCTTTTTGGGTCCCTCCCCCACCTCCGAGCGGGTGATGCTCATCATGAATAGCTGTGTAATAATTTCTTTGCAGAACACCTGTCTGTCCTAGTCCAGCCTTGTTTTTTTTTTTAAAAAAAGCAAAATCCTGCCTTGAGGAAACTTTGCAGACTGGATGTCAATGTCTTCTCCTCCCTCATTGTTTTGCCCTCCAGCGTATTTCAGAGGTACAGCTCCTATCATCCCTGTTCATTGGCCAAGCTGACTGAAACTGATGGGATTTTTAGTTGAGAGCTGAATGGCACTGGGTTGCCTACCCCAGGCATCCATTTCTAAAGCATCATCTATGTGGGTGTGTTACATGTTACATTTTCCCTCTGACAAAGGAGTTGTTCTTCACTGAGATGAAAAAAGATAGGAGGAGAGGTCTCATGGATGCGTGAATAACCTCACCCATTCGCAGCTTTGTAGTCTTTCTTGCACCCTGTAGTTGAAGCCGATTTGAGGAAAGAAAGAGTTCCTTCTAGTAACAGCTCTGCTCATCCCCCCCCTTCTTACAGGAAGATATCTCAAGGCTACGAAGGAAGCTGGAGACCACTAAGAAGCCTGACATGGTTCCCAACTGCGATGAGATCCTTATGGAGGAGATCAAAGACTACAAGGTAAGCAACTTCTTGCTGAAATCCCCTTCAGGTGATGGATTGGGAAAAAGACTAGAGTATCCACTAGTAATGCTGAAGGAACTCAGCTGGCAAAGGATGCGGTTGGAACACCCTAGAAAGGACCTCCATTGTGTAGCCAAGAGTTCTCATTTTATGTCTGGAGAGAGCTACCTGACTCTTTCTCTGTGAACAAATACTCCTTCATGAGTTAGGCAAGCAGATGAAGAGGCGTCTCCCAGAGCGCTCACGCCTCTCCCCGTCAGCTCCTAACTGTCCCATTTCCTTTCCCAAGGCTCGCCTGACGTGCCCCTGCTGCAACATGCGCAAGAAGGACGCTGTGCTCACCAAGTGCTTCCACGTCTTCTGCTTTGAGTGCGTCAAGACTCGCTACGACACCCGGCAGCGCAAGTGCCCTAAGTGCAACGCTGCTTTTGGGGCCAATGACTTCCACCGCATCTACATTGGCTGAGTCTGCCCAGAGGAGGGGCTTCGTTGTTGTCAACTACCGTACTTGTTGTGACTCATCAGCAGGCTGGATTCTGCTCTTCTCTGTCAGCTGTCTTTTCCCTAGTTGTTTTTTTTTCTTCCTTTTAAAGACCGATCTCTCCATTAGAGAAATGGGATTAATTTTTTTTCCCCTGCTTCAGTATTTCTTTTTCATTCTGACTCTGCCAACTGCTAAGCCTCATTGGTTGCCTCTTTCTAATAGAAATGAGACCTTCTTATGGACAAACAGTATTCTAAACCAGACTGTACCCTTACTAGTGGGAATTTGGCTTGGGTTAGTTTGAGCTTTCTCATTAACATCTTAAAGTTAATTTTCCCCTCACTGTTTTCTAATAAAAGAGGAGACTCTTCTTGGTTGAAGTGTTTCCCTGTGTTGTGTTTGTCTGTGCTTGTGGTGATTGCATTCATTGAAAGTCTTGGCCATTTGTAAGGGTTCACACAGTTTTTTCTTTTGCAAGGTTTTCAGGGTGATCTTTTGCACCCATTACAGGAAGAAAGAGGAAAGAGTTGTGTGAAGAACAGTGACTGCAATGTAACCTCTAATGTACTTAATGCATAGCTTCTGACTTGCCTGCAATGTTCACCAGGAAGGCTAAACCATCAGAGAAAACGTGGCCTCCTCTCAGAAAGCTGGGACCAAAAGCAGTGAAGACAAATCTTTCCTCTAGTTCCACTTTGACTTTGCATTATAGGCCCCCAGACAACTCATCCTTAAGAGAAGATCCACATACATCTGCCACATCAACTCTGTGGAACTTTCTGTGTGAAGGAACCTATGTGCCGAAAAACATAGAAGTAGGACCTGGTGGCACAGTCTGTCCCAGGCTTTTTCACAGCTGATGGATTTTACAAGTAGGGACTCCTCACTTGAGGATTGAGTCTCTCATTCAGTCTGTGTTATGTATACAGAAATAGACCAGTTCCCATGTCTGTGCCAGGCCTACACAGAAGTCCAAACCAGATCCTTGAGTCTACTGTTGCATTAAGAAATCCCTTTTAGGGGCAGGGTTTCATCGCAGCAAGAATTGGCCGGGTTTCAGGCAAACTCCTGAAACTGATCGGGACCCCTTGGTTCCAGCCCCGCCAAAAAGAAGGCAGAGGAAAGGACACTGCTAGGAGAAGTGACATCTAAAGCAGCAGAGATGACGGGAGGAATGAGATCAGCGTAGGCTGGTTCCCCCTCCAAAGTCACATCTGGGTTCACGGACTGAGGAGGAAGCCATCTTGGCAAAGAACTGGGAACACCCCAAGTAGAGAATGAGAGAATGCAAAAGGATGGTGAAAATATCTCAACCAGAGACTGAGTGAGTTAAAATATCTGTTTATGTAAGGAAAATCTCCATGGACCCAAATAACTACACAGAAAAGAGACAGATATAAAGAGTCAGCAAAGTGTCTATCTGAAATATTAAATCCTAACTACTTTAATACACTGCAGATCTTTTACATTTTTATTGTTGTGATTTGGCAACTGTGAGAACTTTTTACCCGGAGGGAAGCTCCACGCACCCCTCTTGGATCTGACATGTAAATAAAACTGAGAAAGGAAAGTAAGGTTACAGCAACATCTGCTGATAGAAGACTTAAACAGCATCCCTTATTTACTTAAGAAGGGGGGGGGAATCAATATGGTGACAAAATGTGGAGAAAAAAGAGAACTTGAAGATTACCGACACCAGAACAGAATCTGCAATATTAGGGCAAGAACCATTTAAGGACTGGCAACAGAGTACTGTATTCAAGAGATGTTATCAACAGGGCTACAGCAACTACAAGGAGGGATGGTTCAGCTATGTGTTCAAATGAAAGATTTAGGGATGCAAATGACTGATATTAAAAATCAAATTACAGAAAATAAAAAAACAAATAGAATAGATGAGACATCAAAAGAATGGCAGCAAGACTGAAGACCTTGTATACTGAGATGGGAGACCTAAAACAGTAAAGAAAGCAATATGAAGTTTCTCTGTTAAATCTACAATGGAAAGAGCCAGTGCCATACTTAGATTCCTTGATCTACCAGAACAAAAAGGAGAAGATACAGCATAAGTGAATACTACCTATTTATCATCGCTCATGGAGATGTGATTGGAGCAGACTTGGGCAAAGTGTGGCCCGAGGACCACATACGGCCCGTGAGCCGCTCCTGTCCAACCCGCCAATCGTCGCTCCAGTCTGGTGTTCAAGCACTTGTTCAAGCCCAAGACAGACTGGATTTCTCTCACTGAACAAGTTGAACATCAAAACCATTCATAGCTTTTTGTCTAAAGTTGATCTGCTGCTTATCTTTTAATTTTTAAGTAAAGTTGGTTCGGCCCTTCCTTATCTTTTAATTTTTAAGTTGGTTCGGCCCCCGAACACAGTTCAGATTTTTCATGTGGCCCCCTATAGAAATTAATTGCCCACCCCTGGATTAGAGGATGTTCTACAAAATATAGACACAGCACGAAGAATTAATACAGCATACACCAGAATAAAAATCTCCCCAAAGAAATTCATTTTAAATTTACGAGAAATGTCTTTTGAGATAAAGTTCTAAGAAATATACAAGGCAAGGAACTTAATATAAAATATACAGAAATTAAGATCTTTAAACATTCTGTGGCAAATAAGACCGAAAAGGAGACAATATGCGGCGTTGACATCCTCCTGAGCTCAAACTCAATTATGTATAAGTAGTTGGAGCCTGAAAGGGTTCTCTTTGAATTCTAGGAGCAGAGTTATAGTGTTCTCTTTGAATTCTAGGAGCAGAGTTATTATATTAACTCAAAAATGAAGGCAGAAGATTTTATAAAAACAAAAGAGAAGTGGATGTGCAGAAAAAAGCAGATGAGAAACAAGAAGAGGTGTGCAGAAAAAGGCAGATGAGAAACAAGAAGAGGAGAAATCAAATGGATCATCAAGACCAGAGGCAGAAAGAAGCTCGACTAAAACAGAAGAGCAAGCGAGAAGCTCTAAAGGAAAGTGCACTATAGAAACAAGAGGATCGAGGAGGAAAAAAACATAAACAGCAAAAATGGACTAAATGAATAAAATGTCAGACTGCAGGATATAATGGGTATAAAATGGTAGAAGAATACAGTATTAATGATAAAAATCAGTGACTATTAAAGAAAATGCAGATAAGATGTTTTATAGGTGATATATGATTTACTGATGGTACACAATACCAACAAAATGTTTTAAAAAATATAAAAATGTTTTTAAATAGTGTGGGAAACGTAAAACACAGGAGGAGACTTTTATTATGTTTGGTGCATATAGAGGTAATAATTTCATAATCAAACTTGAAAGATAACCTGGTAAGCATAGACTAAAGAAGAATGTGAAGGTCCAGTTAAGAAAAAGATAGATTAATAAACATAGTAGTACTGGAAATTTTGTTGTTCTCCTTTTTATCTCTCTTTCTAGTATAATTGTATAAGTTGATGTAAATGTACTATCACTCTCTGGAATTTCACCCTTTCCCTATCCATATCTGCTCCCCCAACCCTATAGCCCCTTACCCAAAATCCTACCATCATTGAAAAGAATTAAAAAATATTTTTTTTATTTTGGGTAAGAAGCCCCTTTTAGGTTATGATGCACAGAAAGAGAGAGAGAGGGAAGTCCATCAGATACTTCAGTCGGTTGCCTCTTTTCCTGTTTTTTTCTTTTTGCTATAAAATGATCAATTTACAAATACCTCTGCCTCAATTGAAAAAAAACTGTGCTTCTAAATGGTGTGTTGGTACTTCCTCACATGTTGTTTTCCTTTTGGAGTTTGTTCTCACAACCTTTGACAACTGTGAGAGCCCAAGGTTTCTCTGTTTGACTTGCTTTCATTATTTCTGTATGGCTTTTCCTTGTTACCATTGGACCGAAGATCATTTTTAATGCCCAGCATGGCAGGCTCAGGTCTTCAGTTTGTGACTGTTGAAGCGTGTTGTAGCTGCCTAGAGTGGTCTTATAGACCAGATGGGCGGTGTACAAATCAAATAAATAAATAAACAAATAAAATAAAGTAATGGTGGTGTGCTTCCATGCCATGCAGACTTGCAACTTTCGTGCCAATCAAGATAGATGGTCTTGGTCAAAAGGTATCAACTTTACATATAGCAGCTTCATGGATCTATATGGCAACTCTTGTTAATGGGCTTGAAGGCATTTGGTTTTGTCTTTTGCTTTTAAACAAACTTTTCAGAAATGTTCCATTTAAATACGATAATGAATTGCTACCTTTGGCTGGTTCATTGTGTACTAGAACGTACTGTTCATGTCTGTGGTGGGGAAATGGTGGCCCTCCAGATGTTGGAATGGAACTCCCACAACTCTATATCTTTGCCTATATTGGCAGTTGCTGTCTAACATCTGGAGAGCTACATTTGCCTGCCTTTGATTGATATGAAGGATTTGCCAAACTTTTTATCACTTCAGTGCATTAGGACATACTGGTTTCTTGAGGTGAAATCCGAGCATCTGTTTCCAACTGGGCTGTGCATCCCTGCGTAGATGGAGTACTTGAGGTCCAAGATGTTCAGCACCAGGCTGGAAAAGAGAATATTATAGGAACAGTCCTGAATTCAACCCATACAGAACTGATTGGTAGGCGGGCTTTCAGAACCATCTTCCAGCTCTTCTGCTGACAACAAAGTAGAACATGGCTGAGTGAGGGTGATACCCTTTTTTATGTGCATTGATTTGGATGGAAATTCGAGTCAGCACTTTCATCTCCTTCCTATCTATCAATGCAGTGCTTAGTTTTGGTTGGATTTCCTGTTTGTGTCCACAGAGTTTGTCAAGAGTGCTTTGCCTACATTACACTAGTGTTCCTTTCGACAGCTCCACCAGAGGAATAATATTTTCCTTTGTATTGCGGATGGCATTCAGGTCCAGGAAGAGATAAAGCAGGGATGGGGGTTGCTTCACATCACTGAGGATATTCAACCCTGTTTGTGTTCTAGGGCCAACCCTACTATTTTTTTTCCAAGCGGGGTCTGCTTTGTGGGGAAGACGTTGAGGGGAGGCCATGAGTTGCGTTGCAGGTGGGCTTCCCTGGCACCCCATAAGCAAGTCTTTCACATGTTGCAGGAAATTGTCACATCTTTATTGAACTGAAATTCAACTTCCAGTCGTCTTGGCTTCCATACAGGAATAGGGGGTTGGGGTGAAGCTGGGGCAGAAAGGATTCCATTTTGTCCTTTCCCTCAGGCAGCAAAATATCATAGGTTAGTCCTACTGGATAGCTGTCAGGGTCGCAACTAACCTTTACCTGTCTAAGGTAAAGGCTGATTGTCGAATTTACTTCGCTAACCGGATAAGCGAAGCGTCCAACTAGCAGACAGAGTTATTCCGTATAGTGTGCGACCTATCCAGAACTGGTCCTGGTGATAGGCCTCCCCCTA